ATATCAATCATTGTTAATATATCATTCAGTCTGCAATATATTTACTCGAAATCTCTATTTTATATTGTATCAGTCCCAGGTACTATCTTTCAATGACTAAATATTAGTCTCTAAAATCTATTGTTCAATCTCCAATATTTTTCTTTCAATGCCCCACTTATATCATATTAGTCCGTAATACCATCATTTTGGGACTAAATATCAATCTTCTAAACTATCTAATTTAGTCTCAAATATTATTTTTCAATGACTGAAATATTCAGATACAATATTATTCAATCCAATATGATTTTTTTGATACAATATCATTCGATCCCTAACATGACTTTCTAGCAACTAGATATTAGTCCTTGACTACTTTATATCTAACTATTTTCTTGTACAATTTTCCAACAAAATCAACACTACAGAAATACAATAAATCATTCAATATACATAATTCTTTCTTAATAACAATATGACATTATATGGTATGATTCTACTTTGTTCAAAACATCAATCAAGTCATTAAATTCTTCTCTTATGTTCATTTCTTCTAGTAATTGGTCCATCTATTCCATCACCAATTAAACATCCATCGGTCCTCATAATCTGTTTTTTAAAGAAAAAATCAACAACGGCGCCAGAAAGTACATGTAATACATACATAAACAATCATTGTTAACATTGTAAAAGAACATTTAAAAAAATCCAATTTAATATTCAAAGTTAAAGGAGAATAATTTACTAAAGAACATATTGTATTTGAAACAAGGCTTACTTGAAAATTCATGTATACATAGAATTAAGTTGCAAAATGTGATGCCCGGAAGACAGTAATTAATATGAGGTGCCAATGTGCTATCATGATACTTTTCTTCACCAAGAACTGCAATAAAAAGAAAATTGACTTATTAAAATATGCTAATAACTCAATATAAAAACTTACATATATTTTTTTCGAATGTAAATGAACTTACAATGTTTGTAACATTTGTTTCAGACACATAACCGTCCTTATAAAGCATGTTCATGTCATCAACATTCACATTGTGCCCTTCTATCCGCATCAACTTAATAAGTTCTTAATCTGAACCACTGATAGGGTGTTTTCCACAAATTAAAAAAAAAGAGAAAATCACACTAATAGATGGTTACTAACATATAGTATTTTGAGTTCCCAAATGTCTGCTGGAACCATAAAAGACCAGGACTTTACTAATAATGTTGTAATCAAATTTGCAATATAATTTCTTATGAACTAGATAAGAAGATAACGAACTTTGTTTTTACTTAGCAGGGACAAAGCCTCGGAGAAAACATAGAGGACACGACGTGAGTTATGAGAGTTAAGAGTAGTTTGGTAAATGTGCAAACCTTTTAACAGTCATCCACTTATTTTCTCTTTGGTTCCTCCCAGTTTGGGAGGGAAGTTTGGAGAGATAATTACCACCAATCTTCTTTCCTCTTCTCTCCATAAAAAAAGTAAGAAACGTGTTTCACCTCTTTCTTCCAACTTTGTTTCTCTTACCTAGTCAAAATGGACTCGTGAACATAATAGTGTAAGTGCCCGTTCTCCACAGAAACTTGTAAGGAAAAGCATCAGTTACCACGTGTTGTTACAACAAAAAGAAAAGTTTATATAAGATGCCCACTTTCGATTTTTCATGCATAACTTAACTAGTTAGATAAATCAAGAATGTCAATTACAGAGTTTGGAGAACATCAATGAATATTCAATCTAAACATATGAGAGAATCTTGTTTAGCAAGTGATGGCCACCATATTTCACGTGGCTACAGAAAGAAACATGCATCCATACCTCATATAATCACATAGCATAGTACCTGGCCAAATGTTTGCTTGCAGGTCATGAGACTGTCCAGAAACATCATTGCAATTGCATAAATTAATTTTCACACACACACATGAAAATATCCAAATGAGGATATATCGATGAACAGAAGAACTAGGGCTAAACCGATTCACGCATACGCATATATAGATACAGATGTAGAGACACTGATTACGAATGATACATACACAAACACAAACATATTATATATGAAATTGGATGTTTATTACAAATAAAACAAGAACCTAAACCGATTCAAGGCGTCGATTCCCATGGCCAACGAACAAACACCACAACGGACAAAAGAACTAGGTTCGGGATATTTGATCCACATCGGATATGATGAACAGAAGAATAGATTATAGCAACCACGGTAAACGTCGATGGTGGAGGCGTCATTTGGGAGGTTACGATTTGAGATTGGAGTGGGTGGCGGACTGGCAGTATTTTGTTCACCAATCAATTTGGGGGGAAAGGAAAAACGGAGAAGGGGGAAAGAATTTAGTGGAGTTAAAGATTTTGGGGGAGTCCAAAAAGCTAAAACATTTCTTTTGTTATTTTACTTATTTTTATGATTTAAATTTTTATAATTCTTTGATATATAATTTTTCATTGGTTAAAACCAAATTGATAGTTGTTAGAAATCACAAGGAAATTGTTAGATTCATGACTGATTCATCAGTCTCTAATATATTGACTAAATAATTAGTTTTAGATACTAACATTCGGTCAATTATAAGTGTTCATTCAAATGTCAAATATTGCATGTCTACTAAGGACTAAAATTCAAACTTTAAAAAGTTTCTCACTGAAATGAAAATTGGTGCAGTTGTAACAATGCTGAAATTCAATCCCTAAAAAGTTTCATACATAATCAAAACCGACACAAATCTATCAGGGACTGAAATTCAGTCCCACATAACTTTCCCACCAAAGTTAAAGTTGGCGTTAGACTATTTGGACTGAAATTCAGTCCCCACTGTGTTTCCGACCAAACCTAAACCAGTGTAAACATATTACGGATTGAATTTTAGTCTCGATTAAGTTTGTTCAGTCTCTAATGATGCGTACACTAAAATCAATCCTAGATAGTGTATGAGACTAATTTGTCAGTCCTAGATACAGAGTATCGAAGACTTATTAATCAGTCTCTGGTATTTTAGTCACAAAAACTCATTTTTCTTGTAGTGAAGGAAATTGACAAAATTAATAATATTTTAGGGTTTTTTTCTCATTTTTGTTATTATTCTAATTGTTTTTTAGTTTCTGATCTCCAAAATAAATATCCATGTCTCATAAAAACCTATGGTCTCAAATTATATATATATATATATATATATATATTATATATATATATATATATATTATATATATATATATTATATATATATATAGAGAGAGAGAGAGAGAGAGAGAGGAGAGAGAGGAGAGAGAGAGAGAGAGGAGAGAGAGAGAGAAGGGGGGGGGGGGGTTATGAAAAAACACTAATAATTTATGAAAACGGAAAGAATCATTCAGAAAGCATCACCTATTTTTCTTTATTTTAAATAGTTCATAATTAAATATCCACCACTACCGAAAGATTATGGACTAATTGGTAATTTTAATTTTTTTATGGTTACAAGATCAAAATAACCGTGCATTCGTTCCTAATTTCATGGAATTAACTTCAACGATAGTGCAATTCACATAAGACGACAATGACGACGACAATATTCCCTCCCAACCCGTCGATTTCCTCATCCCTTGATATACTCACTATGTTTTTTCTTTAATGATCAATCACATGTTTCCTACTCCAAGGTCATGCTCCTTTAATAGATGATTAAATAACATAGTTTCTTTCTCTCACAACTGACTCCACACACCATCACCATCGACAACCGCCAGAGACATCCTATTTTACTTTGCTTGCCCCTTCTCTTGCCGGAAAACGCCATCACAATCTCCATCTCCATCTACAAAATTTCCATATATAACCACTATTTAACCCCCATCGTCGATTTGAAGAAGATCATAGTGGTCATGTAAGAAGACCGGTTAATTTGCAAACAAATATCCAAGGTTTATTGTTTGTACCACCACTGACAAGATCATCAATTTTTAGCTGGTAGTTGTATGTATATTCTATTGTTTGATCACTTCATTATTTTCGGAATCTTGCAAGTCGACATTTGAGTTAAAAGTTTCTGCAGGTGTTTAAAAATTTATCTTCTAATAATACATTGTCCAATTTGAGATTGTTTTCGTGTTACAATTGTAGTGAGAAGCAAAACCATGATGCTTTCTCCATTAGGTTTATTTGCTATGAGACTCGATGAATCATCAGATACAAGTAAATCGATACCTAAAAATCAAAGCAAAACCATGTCGAAGACTCGATGAATCATCACATATAAGTAAATGGATACCTAAAACTCAAAGCAAAACCATGACGAAGCAATCGATTAAATCGAAGTTGTTACCTAGAAATCGGGTTTCTAATCAAGTAATCAACGCAGATACTAAATAAAATGGTCTCTTTTGTACATATAAACCAAAAACAACACGACAACCCAAATTGACAAAAAAAAAATAAAAAAAATAAAAAACCCTACAAAACAAAGTTAACCACCAATCAAAATAAACGAACCAACAGTTTAAGAAAGCTTTGTCTCTTTTGCTAACTGAGGAAATATTTCTGTCAAGACTGATATCCTACTCCGTCCAGCTGTCTTCTAAACCAACATAAACTTTTTCTTTTAATTAATTGTTGCACAACTAGCAAGGTTTATGAATTCTTTTGCTTATGAAATTAGTAGTTATTAATATAATCTTTTTTGGTTAAAAATGCATTATAAATTATGAAAAAAGCAAATGCTATATAAAAAATAAATGAATAAATTAATCCAAGCATTTTAAATACGTTCTCATATAGTCCTATAGGATAAACTCTCTCACAATAAAATATAAATTGTTTTAATTAAACAATCATAAGTCCTAACTTAATAATCCATTATTAAAATTCGAAAAATGAAAGTTAAGAGATATGTTTATTGATGTATCAAAACTCATACACGTTTATTCCCGTACACACAAACTTCAGAAAAACACACCATTGCGTCTCTCACAACTTCACAAGTACACTGCCTTATTAACGTTTGATTTAATAATCCATTATTAAAGTTTAGCTTTGGCTGGTTCTCTGTGGTGAGAACAGCATACTTTCAGTTTCCCTGTTGGTTTTTAAGCTCTGAGCTTGGCTTGGCGAGATATCGTATGAGTTCGTGATCACTTCAAGCGGCATGGCTCGGAACACCGACGTGTATCCTGCTACTGGACTCTTCATTGGAGACTTGTTCGTCTTGAATGCCACCCACTCGAACCCGTTTTGTCCAGCTTGAGCTATGGCCGCAAAGAACTGTGGGACGACGACTATGTTGCCTCTGTTCACCTGCTCGTCAAACACTGCTTCACCATTGTTGGACACGATCTGGATATGTGCATCGCCACTAAGAACGTATAAGATGGTGTGGCTGTTTATCGACCAGTGTGGCGAGAACAACGCATTCTGTTGAAGGTGTCCTTTCTCAGCACTCAGGTCCAACAAAGAAAGAATCGGCAGTTTGTGCTCGTTGACGGTGTTCAGTTTTCCGGCTTGCCGGGAAAAGAGGTCGGCCTCTCTCTGGTTGTCCAAATTGTACACGATTTTGGCACTGCATATGGTTTCTTCAAGGCCGTTAGATGCGGCGGCTCCTCCGCCTTGTCGTCGTTCAAATGGAGTTTGTTCTTCCTGTTGTTCGTCGGGGGTGACAAATTGCATGGGTTGCTGCACTTTAACGATTAACCCACGGTTACCTGGCTCCTGCATCGATCTGACAATTTCTGGGTCGGAGTTGAATGCCTCCGCTAGTAATTCTGTGTCGAAGCCGGCGAAAATGTTCAGGAAATCGAAGTTCCCACCCTGTTGTTGCTGCTTGCGCGTCGGGTGCCTCTGTCCTTGAACACTTTGGCTTGAAGTCCCTCCGGCTAGGAAAAATGACTGCCAGAAAGGAAACACCAAAAAATGGTTAGCTGCTTGTTAACAAAAAGCAGAGACTTTGGCTTCCTTTAACGGTTATGACGTACGTACCCTAGGTTGCATGTCGAGTTGGTTGGCGGGGTTGTTGATGTCATTGATGGAGATTGCCACCACTTCTTGGTTCCCGTCGTTGTAGGTCCAGTGGACGGCACCGGCGGGAATGGCGACGATGTCTCCACGACGGAATCGGCGCACTTTCTGGTGGGAGTCTGCTGATATATCAAAACCTTGTGGTTCTTCTTGTCCTTGTTGGCCCATTTTACGCGGCCATTCTTGCTGTTGTTGCCCAACTCCGGTGTCGAATGTTTCGGCACATCCCGGAAAGTGTACTCCGATAATCCCTTCACCTGCATGCATGCATCGTAGATTCATATTACTATTAGCACTCCACGATTGAGGGGTTAATTATTTTTCAATTAAATAATACCTTCTTCGATGAAAACAATTCTAGGGAATGGATGGAAGCTAGGAAGCGAAAGAGAGTTCGGTTGGATTGTCTTTCTCATCGGAGCAACTCCAACGCACTGAAACTGGTCGTCATTTACATCCCATGTTTCGATGGAACCACCTTCGAACTCAAGGCGTTGAGCAGGTTGGGTAGCCGAGAGTCGCTGAAGGTTGCAGAGCTCAGGGCCGCCGAGGCGTGGGGAGCGTGTGGTGGCAAGAGCGGTGGTGCCAAGGAGGCAGAGGAAGAAGCCTAAGACGAGTTTTCGAGTAGCCATGGTGAATGGGTTGTTGAGTTGTTGTTCAGGGGAGGGTGGTGGGGTGGATTTATAGGGGGAATGCGTGAGGGTGTGGCGCAATGGTTATGCTGTGCACCGATAAACTTCACCTGGACTGGAGGTGATGGAGGTGTTTGGTGGCAGTGACTTCAACGTGGTGGTGCATGGCATGACGTGTACACAGACTTGGCAAGATTTTTCTCTTTATGTTGACAAATGTGCAAGTACCAGCCACAAAAGTTAAGAGGAATCCTGTTTTCGATTTTGAATCAAAAATTAATATATGATTTTACATATAATTCAAATACAAAGTTTTTTATTTGAGAAATTAAATAGTCTACTACATTTTATGCCTACAATATTCTTACTCATTAATATTATGACATGTGTCACCATTCCATATTTACTTAACTATCTTATTAAGAGTATATTAGGAATATATCAAATAAAATTAAATTGAATGGTGGAATGATGACACGTGTCATAACATTAGTGGTTATTAATATTTGTAGACATAAAATGTAGGAGATAGTTTAATTTCTCATTTTATTTATTTATTTAATATATAAGGCTATCGACAATGGTCACACATGGTTAGTGAATAAAGGCGATGTCACGTAGATATTTCACCATTCCACACCCAAACCACCGGGACCGGGGGCGGTGTTCACTGGTGGTTAGGTAGTGAAGGTGCAAAAAGAAGAGAGAGACAAAGAGAGAAAATGTGAGGGAACCAATCAAATGCAGCGTCTTCGGCCGTCTCCATGGCCACGCCACACCCAAACCACCGAGGTTGGGGGCGGTGTTCATACGTCCTTATCCCCTCCAGCTCAGCCCTTCACGCGTGGAGAGTTATCCACTTCGGATAGTCTAATCAACTATATATCTATCTATTCTATTTCTTATCCTAAAATTGACATTTGTCACTTTTAGACCACAATTTGTCATATCACTTTTATAGAAATTATTTTATTTTTTGGTAAGTTATTAATTTGATATTTTTTGTTTGGTCATTTGTTTTAGTATTCATAGTAGGTGTGAGACTCGTATATTATACAGATTGATTAAAACAAAATGTTAAATACATAGGAGTTAACGTGAAGTTTATTTGTATTTAAAATTTAAATATAAATAAAAATTATGAGAAAAAATTATAAATAAATAAAATGCGAAAAATAAAAAAAATAAAATTATGTGTTTAGTTGTCAGATCCGTGTACTAAACATGTTAATTATAACAAAATGTTAAATACGAATTTTTAAACTGTAATTTATTAGAAATTGAAATTTAAATTTGAAATTTAAAATTACTATAATCATTATGATATATTTAATTTATGGAAACTAAATTAACGATATATTGGAAAAAATGAAAAATGTAGTAAATTACAAATGAGAAGTAGAAAATATATATCTCTAAATTACCATAAATTGACAGTGGGCAAATTGAAGGAAAGAATAACATGTGACAAAATTATTTTCATTTATTAGGGAAGATTTAATATTTTTATTTTAAATATTATTCATTAGAGTCAAATTATCACCATAGATGTTTAAATTATACACATTGAATATTTAACTATTTTTTGGAATACTATAAAATTTTAGATTATAGTTTTGTGTTAAAATTCTATCAATTATATGATATATCAACTGTATAAATTAAATAAACTACTTACTAACTTTTCACTTAATTCGTTACTATCAACAATACGTATCTCTTCCACCAAAAGAATCCTAAAATTGTCTTTGTCATTTTTAGACCATAATTTGCCACATGTCGTATTTTTAAAATCATTTTATTTTTTCCCACTAATCTTATATATCATTGAAAATTTATAAGATTCTACATTAATCCTTTTAAATGAAGCTTATTTTACTATTTTTTTTGGTAAGTTCTCATCTGTCTTCATTTATCCCCAAACTCTAATTCACCGCTCAAAGTAGGGGTGAGCATAATAACCAATAAACCGAACCAAAACCATTTTATTTTTTCCCACTAATCTTATATATCATTGAAAATTTATAAGATTCTACATTAATCCTTTTAAATGAAGCTTATTTTACTATTTTTTTGGTAAGTTTTCATCTGTCTTCATTTATCCCCAAACTCTAATTCACCGCCCAAAGTAGGGGTGAGCATAATAACCAATAAACCGAACCAAAACCAAATTAACCGATATAACCGAACCATAATAACCAAACCATTATAAAAACCGTTGGTTCGGTTTCTAATTTTTGTTAACCGATAACTAACGGTTCGGTTATGGTTTTATACGTTAACCAAACCATTATTAACCAAACCGCCAACTTTATATTTTAATATATAAGAATTATAGATTATACATAAAATAATATAGTCAAAACTTATCTAAGATCCATTAAAATATTGAAAATATAATCCATTAATCCTCACTTATCAGGAGACGAATGAGCAATCAAACCATCAAAGGCTGATCACGGAGACACACACAATCTTCCAATCATGCATTGAGTTAGATTATTGATTAATGTTGTAATTCCTAATCGGCTAATTCTACAATTTATAAACATTATTCACAAGTAGTTTAATCTTTACACTCATAATCGTAATCGAAGGCTTCTCACACCGTTAATCCTATTCAAAGATTGTTTTGACTTTATAATCCTATTCGAATGATTTTTTGACTTTATAATCAAGACTTCTAGGTAAGTTAAGTTTTTGGTTCTTCTTGACTCTGTGATATATTAAGAATGTATTTTTTTGGCTTTTTTTAATTCTTGTTTTTGACTTAATCACATTGAATGTATATGAGCGATTGTCTTTTTTTATCCAATAACACATAATATAAATGTTTGACTCTTTTATTTTATAGTTTTTGATTTAATCGTATTGAACGTAACGTGTATGAATGTTTGGCTTTATTTTAATATTAATATCAATTATCAATATATGAGATTATTAATGTCAATTTTTTTAATGTTTTATATTTTTATTGAATGTTTTTTATTTTGAATGTGACTATGTGTTATCTCACTCTAAATATTAAAGGTATACATTTTATTCTATTAGTATAAGCTAGGTTACAAACATTTGCGTCGAGGACTTTTTGGTATTCTATTTTCATTTTTTATGTCAATATACTTCCGTCATTTATATTATTTTCAACATTATGGTTAACCAATAATAACCATTAACCAAAACCGTTAACCGATAAAAACCATTAACCATAACCAATATTACCCATACCCAATGGTTACCAAAATGCATTAACCAATCATAATGGTTATGGTTCGGTTTTAACCAATAACCGAACCAAACTGCCCCATACACACCCCTAGCCCAAAGTGGCTTCCTTTCTCTGCCACAAACCACCATCACTACTATGTTGCGATCATACTATCTGTCTCCACCACCTCTACCATACCACTCATTCTCTACTATTTTATGCATCTCTGAATGGTTTTTATTTATAGGGTTTTAACAAACGATCATTGATGGCGAATATATAATTAATGATTACGTTTTTTGCGTAGCTTGATTTATGTTTTTTAGGATTTACACCCCGTCTCTAGGGTTTTATATTGGGGGTGAATTTTATTATCCTGGTGTCTATATGGGTGAAGCAAAAAGCTCCTTACCTAAATTCTTCGTGGTATGCTAAAATAAAAATGGAGCCCTGCAGGTGGTTTTCAAAAATAAAGAAACAAATTCAAGGTAATCTGATTTGAATCAAACCCTAGAGGAGGCTGACTTGCATTTGGCTCAATCGTGTGACTATTATTGATAGCATATGCAATTACCTTTTGATGTGACCTGGTCCTCCGGCCATCTAAAACGATGGCTCTGATCACTATATGGTGGCTCTGATTACTCCCGGAAGACATGCGAGGTCACAACAGGGGAAAGCCGTCAACCATTCTCCGGGAGGAGCTCTCGGGAAAAAGCTGTGACGGTCAAGTCAGTGACTGAACTGGGAGTGTATGGTTTGAGCTGAGAGACATTGACTTGCCCTTTAAGGTGGCAGAGGACGCCTTTTATACTAAGGCCTCCTTCCAGTTCGTACATGGTACAAGGACTTCAGGTCTGACAGGATCTAGCGCCTTGATTGGTTAATCATGCTCCTCGTTGTGCCAGAGCTAGTGATTAGTTCAGGTAGTAATGCTCTGAGCATACTCCTTGTCGCTTGGGGTCTTTGGGTTTGTCGCGGAGTGGAAGGCGCCCGCTGAGGGATGGGACTTCCACGCGGGCGTCCAGCTCTGGAGGGACGTCCGCATGCGCGAGACTTCATCGGAGTGGCTATGCTGGGAGTAGCTTGGTCTAACAGCCTGCCTTGAGGCACCTTTGGCGCGACTGAGCGCAACTCGTAGTGATCCCCGATGATGACGTACACTAGTATGAGGGGGGATCAAGGGGAATTCAAGCAGCCCATAGTTCCGATGAAGGTTATCTCAAAACCTACCCCCATCCCCTCCTCTTCAGGGGGGGTACGCGCCATGAAACTTCTGTGAAGCAGGTTCTACAGGGCCTTTCTGGCCCTGGTGCGATCCCCTTTATTCCAGGTTGGAATCTTTGCAACGATTCTAGGTTGTCCATTCGTACCAATGCCTTGGAGTTTACCCGTCATGACATTCCACCAGCGGTTGTTGCTGATATGGGTGCTATGGCCAGTTCCTCCCTTGCTCATAATATGGCCTATTTCACTGCTCAAGCTATGTCTTACTTGGTGGTAGGCTCTCGGTGTATTCAACGTCTCAGTGAGATGAATCAGGCTCATGCTAGCTTTATTGCGAATGAGGCGGAACAAAAGCGTAAGATCGCAGTGCTTGAGAAAGAAGCTCGCAGCTTTGGCCAAAAACATGATCTCTTGATGTCGGAGAAAATGGTTGTGGAGGAGGTGCGGTCGACGTTGGAAGAGAATGTGGATTCTCTCACTCAGTCTAATGAAGGTCTGATGATACAGAATAAGAGCTCAGAGCGCGATGTTGTTGACCGGGATAGGCTTGTTGAAGAGGCCCGGT